TAAGTCATGTTCACTTCTTTTTGACCTATATCCAATAATTCATATGAATCGAACCTTGATGATTGTCGCCACCAAGTCCCGGTTGAATTCTTTTATTGGAATCCTTATGAATCAAACCTTAATTGTTGTAGCCACCAAGTCATGTTCGGATTCCACCTAATTAAAACCTTGAATATATTTAATATTTTGGATATTTTTTTATTATTTACAGAATAAATCTACCTATATACCTAGGGTCGAAATATAAAGAGAGAAGGTGAAAAAATCTACACAAGGCTTATCTTCCAGACTTGTTTGAAGAATCCGATCTCATGTATACCAAGCCCCAAAACAAGTAGTTGTGTCAGATTTAGGTTGGAGGTTAGCTTCGGTTCCTTCAAACAATCTCAGAAAGTGTGGATAGTTGACATGTTGATCCACTTTAGTATCTTTAGTACTCTCTGTAATCAATAAATCTAGAATGGTGCTAAAGAGTGGTTAGTTAATAAGCAAAAATTGAAAGTAATCATTTTCTCTTTCTTGACTCAATAAAACTTTTTTTGAAAACATTTTAATAGGACTCAAAAAGGAAATAAATATCAGTAAACATCCCTAGATAGATAGATAGATAGATAGATAGATAGATAGATAGATAGATAGATAGATAGATAGATAGATAGATAGATAGATAGATAGATAATTTAACCTTATAGTTCTTATTCGTATTTTATAGAATTTTGGGTTTGATTCGGTTCATAGGTTTAGAATTGAAGTAACCGAACAATCCAAAACCAAATAATGAAATAAAGTTGCATATCAAAGCATCTATTCTATTAAAATAGAGTCATTCTTTTTATCTACTGATACAAGTTGTCATTTAAATTTGGACCCTTTCTAGAGTGTTACAAATAATACAAGTTATATAATTGATTGAACCGCATTACTTAAATTAAACCGGTGATTATTTATGGAATAGAGTTTTGGGCTTACTTTTGTTTTTATAACATTTAATTGTTTGGTTTTTGGTTTTAGTATTAAAAAAAACTCCAAAAAACATTAAATAAACTTTTCACCTTAATGGATCAAAAAACAATTACTATTTCAGGCCCAAAAATATTTAATATTTTCAACAAAACAAAATTATCTATTATCAATCACTTATTTTAACCATGTACTTTAAAACATGTTAATATTTTTATCCCAAAATATTTAATATTTTCAACAAAACAAAATTATCTATTATTAATTACTTATTTAAATCATGTACTTTAAAACATGTTAATATTTTTTATTTTAAATAACAATCACTCTATCTTGATAAATTTTAATGGTAACTTTTAAATAATTTATTGTTTTATTTTTCTTAAATAATTTACAGATTTAAAAAAATGTAAAGCAAAACCAAAAACCAAATCTAAAAACTAAAATCCAAAACCAAAAGCTGAAAACGCATGTTATATTTTTTGCTTTTTTTATTACAAAATAAACTTTTTCAAAAATTTTAGAAAATTATTTTGTCATCTTTTAAGTTTTAAATTACATGTTCGATTAATTGAGATTTGTTTGTTGGTAATATCAGTTCAAACTAACTTAGTAGGTCTAAAAATTAAAAACCCAAACCAAAAGCTGAAATAAAAAATGGAAACTTAAAAACTAAAAACCGAAAACCAAAATTTAAAACAAAATCTAAAAATAAAACTGAAACTAAAAATTAATGAAAAACAACTATCACCACAAATTTTGGTGAACTGATTTTATCCCAAAACATTCTTTAAATTAAGATAAAACTCAATTACATAAATTTTTAATCATAAAAAATTTCTGCACTTGAATTATATTTTTGCTTTTTTTATTACAAAATAAACTATTTCAAAATTTTTAGAAAATTATTTTGTCATCTTTTCAGTTTTAAATTACATGTTCGAGTAATTGAGATTTGTTTGTTGGTAATATCAGTTCAAACTAACTCAGCGGATCTAAAAATTAAAAACTCAAACCAAAAGCTGAAATCAAAAATAGAAACTTAAAAATTAAAACCCAAAAAATCAAAATCTAAAACAAAATCTAAAAGTAAAAATTGAAACTAAAAACTAATGAAAAACAATCATCACCACAAATTTTGGTGAACTGATTTTATACCAAAACATTCTTTAAATTAAGACAAAACCCCAATTATATAAATTTTCAATCATAAAAATTTAGGTAATATCAGTTCAAACTAACTCAGCGGATCTAAAAATTAAAAACTCAAACCAAAAGCTGAAATCAAAAATACATACTTAAAAGCTAAAACCCAAAAAATCAAAATCTAAAACAAAATCTAAAAATAAAAATTGAAACTAAAAACTAATGAAAAACAATCATCACCACAAATTTTGGCGAACTGATTTTATACCAAAACATTCTTTAAATTAAGACAAAACCCCAATTATCTAAATTTTTAATCATAAAAAATTTATGCGCTTTTAAGCGCGGATCAAAATCTAGTAACAATTAAACTTGGTTTCAGTGTGACAAATCTATAATGTGGAATATAAACGGAATTTCAAAACTAATCGAAAAAAAAAACGAACAACAACTAAAATATGAAAATAAAACACAAAAGGTGTCTAAGACAAACAAAACTTAATTTTTTGATCATTTGATTTGGACTCGTAAAATCTAGGACAAGGTTACGTACCAAATGTAATAACATATAGTTTTAGAAAAATTGAATAAATCATTATATGTACTAAAGTATATAATATATATCATATGACATACTATATATATGTATACATATCTACTTCGGTTAAGTTCAAATCCATGTTTGGTTCGGCTTTCGAAACGGAAACCCGAACCCGAACTTGAAGTCCAATGTAATATGAAATTGGTCCTTTCAGGTATTTTAAGGGATTCGAAACCGATCCATACTCACTTGGGTTCGGGTTTCTGGTATTACCCGTAGTCTAACATGTCAATTGGTCCATTCAGTAACACTTAAAACCGTAATCGCATCCCCAAATTCCCTTTTAATCGCATCCCCAACAGCTCCATTTAAACCAGTTAGACCGTTGCATGATCAGTTTGTTGCGCCGTAAACCTTCTCCCATTGATACTTTTTTGAGTAAAAGTTAGGATTCCGACAAGAACAAAAGACTTATAGAGGAGTCAGACATTATGCGAATTAGCAAACCCATAACTCTTTTCACTAAAGACCTTTCTTTCTACCATTCTCTGCTGAGGTCTTGTGTCCATGGTGATAACTCTTCTTCTCCAGTCACAATCTTCCGTGACTTACTTCGTTCCTCTCTCATACCAAACCACTTTACAATGTCCATCCTTCTCCAAGCTTCTTCTGCCTCTTTATCCCCTCATAATCATGCCTCTGTCGGTTCATTGAGTTTAGTCCACACCCATCTCAAGAAATCAGGCATTGATCGGTTTGTGTACGTCAAAACATCTCTTCTTGATCTCTACATGAAAATGGGGTTTGTAGCTACAGCAGGTAAGTTGTTCGATGAAATGCCTGAGAGAGACACCGTTGCTTGGAACGCAATCATTTGTGGTTATTCGCGTAATGGTTGTGAACTTGGCGCGTGGCATCACTTTGTAGTAATGCTTCAACAAGGGTTTCTCCCTTCTGCAACTACACTTGCAAGTTTGTTGCCTTTTTGTGGACAATGCGGATTCGTTTCTCAAGGGAGGTCTGTTCATTGTATTGCTTCTAAGTCCGGCTTGGAACTTGATTCTCAGGTCAAGAACGCGCTCATTTCGTTTTATTCGAAGTGTACAGAGTTGGGTTCAGCAGAGGTTTTGTTTACAGAGATGAAAGATAAAAGCACGGTTTCTTGGAACACAATGATTGGTGCGTATAGCCAGAGTGGTTTTCAGAAAGAGGCCATCACTGTTTTCAAGAATATGTTTGAGAGTAGGAGCGTTGAGATTAGTCCGGTCACCGTTATTAATCTTCTTTCAGCTCATGTTAGTTACGAGCCGTTGCATAGTCTTGTTGTGAAAACTGGAATGGTGAATGATAACTCTGTGATTACTTCTTTGGTTTGTGCATATTCAAGGTGTGGGTGTTTGGATTCAGCAGAGCGTCTTTATGCATCTGCTACTCAAGATAGTATCGTTGGTCTAACTTCGATTGTTTCAAGCTATGCTGAGAAAGGAGATATGGACGTAGTGGTTTCTTATTTTTCTAAAATGCGCCATATGTGTATGAGAATCGATGCTGTAGCTTTGGTTGGGATTCTCCATGGATGTAAAAGCTCTTCCCACATCGACATTGGAACGTCGTTACATGGTTACGTGATCAAAAGCGGATTGTGCACGCAAACGCTGGTTGTGAATGGACTGATAACAATGTACTCTAAGTTTGATGACATCGAGACTGTCCTGTTTTTGTTTGAGACACTGCATGAGACTCCTCTAATTAGCTGGAACTCAGTGATATCAGGGTGTACACAGTCGGGAAAGGCGAGTACAGCCTTTGAGATATTTCATCAGATGAGTTTAAGTGATGGACCTGTGCCTGATGCTGTCACCATAGCAAGTTTACTTGCTGGCTGCTCTCAACTCTTATATTTGCATTTGGGGAAAAAGCTTCATGGTTATATTATTAGGAACAGTTTTGGAAGCGAGAAGTTTGTTTGCACTGCTCTTATAGACATGTATACTAAATGTGGAAATGCAGAATTAGCAGAAAGAGTGTTCAATAGCATTGAAGCTCCGTGTACAGCAACATGGAACTCAATGATATCAGGATACAGCTTATCAGGTTTACATAGCCGAGCTCTTTCTTGTTACTTACAAATGAGAGAGCAGGGACTGAAACCTGACAGGATCACCTTTTTAGGGATTCTGGCTGCATGCACACATGGAGGTCTTGTCGATGAAGGGAGAGAATATTTCAGAGAAATGATCAAGGAGTTTGGGATATCTCCCAGTTTACAGCATTATGCACTTATGGTTGGTTTGTTGGGTCGAGAATGTTTGTTTAGTGAGGCGTTGTGTTTGATTTGGGAGATGGATGAAAAGCCGGATTCTGCAGTATGGGGTTCTCTGCTTAGTGCTTGTATTTTGAACAGAGAGATTGAGATTGGGGAATATGTAGCGAAGAAAATGTTTATGTTGGATTACAGGAACGGAGGCTTATATGTATTGATGTCAAACCTGTATGCAACAGAAGAAATGTGGGAAGATGTATCCAGGGTAAGGAGGATGATGAAAGATAATGGCTATGATGGTTACTTAGGAGTTAGTCAAACATTATAGTTTTTCATTATGAGAAACCAGATTAACAGGTTAGGTTAATAATGAGAAACCAAATCTTTTTGAAGAATATCTTATTAAGACCACTGGTTGTGTGTTTAGATGGCTTCTTGAACATGTAGGGGTTGTTAAGCTAATCTAGGGGGTTGGTGAAGTCTCCTTAGTATATGAAAGTTCAACAAAATCAAGATCTTCTATGAACAGTGATGAAAACACCTCAACAATGTATATTACCAAGCAAAAATACATATAAATGGTGTTATGTCTCTCTCCCTCTTTCTTATAATTAGGACACGGGAACTAACTTTTTTTTTTGGCCAAATGACACAAGAACTAACTATGAATGAATCCCACTGCATCTATCATCAGTCAAACCCTCTCTCTTCATCTTCTCCTCTTTAGCCTTGCGGCAAAACACAACCCAAGAGTTAACTTCCATTGCCACGCAGACTCCAACCAGCGTCGACAAACACATACAGTAACCAAGCTTCGCGTACGATCCTCCTTCCCTCAAAACATCAAACCCTTGGAACACATTCACCACCCCCATCACCACACAACCGTACCCGACAAAATGATGGTAAGACTTCCAATATCTCCTGAACTTGTTAGTAGTCTTTGGTCTGAAGAACAAAGCCAGCGTTTGCAGCGCAGCTAGAGTGAACGTTGCTATCCCAAGGCTACGGTGTAAACCATAGGTCACCCCCGGGGAGTTCCGACCAAGCACCATTCCGAGTGAGAAGCCGATTGTTCCGAGGAGGAAACCGGTTAGCTGTATCCCTGCGTGGATGTAGAACCAAGTTGGTCCTATTGACTGCATTTGACGAAGGTAACGAGCTGTTACTGCTCCTGCCGGGAGAAGAAAACCCCAGGACACCGCGTTGATTACTCCGTGTGTCACTTTCAAAACTCTCGAACCGCTGTTCCTTTTAACCGTTGCAAATCCTGTTCAAATATCAAAACTAAAACTTGATGTGTTTTGCTAGAAATATATCATCTGTTTTGGGGCGGAAACCCATAATCCCTGATGTCTAAAACCACAACATATAATATTAGTTTTGTCCCAGCAATTATTTGAACGGAAGACTTTTGACACAGTTATCAGAGTCATTTCTAGCTGAGGTAACCTCTAGTTAGAATATCTCATCAAATGAAAACCTGAAGTAATATAATACACTTAGGCCTGCGGATTTGGTTAGTTCGGGTTATTTGGTTCAAATACATGTAGTTTGGTTCAACATAAATATTTTACTGAGTTAACCCGAAATAAATTTAGTTTGGCTAGGTATTTGGTTAGTTTGGTTTTTGAAAATCCTACCGAAGTTGGTTTTCGGTTTAACGTCGTTAAAATTTCGAATAGATTTGGTTAAGTTTGGTTAATTCGGTTTAAAATTTGGTTAGTTTGGTTCCAACTTTTGTAAGGAAAAAAAAGCTAAGTAATGATTGCCGAACCAAACACCGAAGTTTTTTAGAAAACCTACCGCATCAAATCAAGCTTAAACTGAACTAACCAAAATTTCAGTTTGGTTCAAAATCCCAAGCCTAATACAAGGAATGTACGAGCCAATACCTGAAGCGACATCGAAGGTGGAGAAGGAGGAGAGATCAGTGGAAGTAGTAGGATGAATGGTTGGAGAGTAACCTTGAACATAAAGACCTCTATTCCAAACATGGTGGATCTTGGTGTTATTCGAGGAAAGTTTCACGGACGCGTAAATCTGGACAGAGGCGCCGTTACGTATAGTAGCCATGTTCCCACCATATAAAGAAGCAGAGGACGACGAGAGGCGGATGAGGTCAAGAGGACGAGAAAGAAGAGGACCTTTCTGGAGCTTCACAGATGAGTCAAGAACGTAAGGGAGGAGGATGAGCTGACCCGAGTTGGGATCCGGAAACGCGATGAGGACTCGAGAGCCGGTCATCTGGGAAGGTGTATCCGGGTTGATCCCCCACCCGACCCACCCGGAAGGTGAGATGAATGTTCCGAAGAAACAGAGGTCGAGAGTTGCGTTGTGTGGATGGTATGTCCATGCGATTGAGGCTTGTTGTGTCGGAAGAGAGATGCATTTCTCGAATGTTTTTGTTGATGTCGTGGTGGTGCACTTGGCGGAGACTGACGACGTTGAGAGAAGGAGTAAGAGAGAGGTTAGAGTCAACGTTAAAGTCGTCGACATTGCTCGATCATCTCTGTTTTTTTCTGTTGGTTGAATCATACTATATGTAGTGAATAAAGATGGTTACCAGAAAATCAGTGACGCCTTTTTAATTGTTTAAAAAAAAAATGGAAATGATGATTTTTCCATTGAAGAAGTCTTTGCTTTGAAGCTAAGTGATTAATCACAGTTGGTTGGTTGTGTAATGTTTGGACATCTTTTTACGATATCATTATGATTCTCATGCGGATAGATTTAATAAAAAGTCTGACGTGGATTAATGACGACATGAAACGACAGCGTTTTTGGGTTCATGAAAGTGATTAACTCCAAATACTCTGAGGGTGATTGGTTGGGTTATAAGTAATGACTTTAGCTTTAATTTATACTAGGTGAATGGCCCGCACGCATGTGCGGACATTAGTATAATCCATATATTACATATATAAAAGTTAGTGTGAATATATAAATATATTGTAACTTTGTTTCTGTCTTATAGTTACTCCGTTTTTCTTTGTATCTTTCTATTTTACTTATTTCGTTTTTGTTTTGTTTTTTTCACACATATTCACTCGGTCTCTTTTTGTATTTCTCTATCTCATTCATTGTCTCTCTTTATATATCTCTCGCTCTCTTTCTAGTTCTTTCTTTCAGTTGATCAAATAATCTTAAAATCTCTCAAACTTACATTCACTCTTTCACAATCACTTATATATTCACTTTCTTGCCCTCAACTTCACTATAACCCTCAATACTTCACTTTCAAACTCTCTCTATCCCTCTTTCGGTTGCAAAAATTTCACCAGATTTTGTTAAATCTTCATGTTCTCTCACATACTATTAATAAATGATTTTAGAATCTATCTTACTTACATTCAGTCTCTCACTTATATACACTCTCATGTTCATCATTATTATAACCTTCACTTTCATCCTCATCATCACCATCTCTCCCTCACTCACGTATTTGTTATTTAGTGTTTAACATAAAAAATACCCTAATCATTTATAAAAATGATAACTCAACTGTAATATCACTTTAAGAATTACAATGACTGAATTTTTTAAAGTTATATATTTGACTGCTTTGCATTCATTTGACACATTTTAATAAATATGTATATAGTGAATAGAAATATTATTAGGTTTCTATTTATTAGTTTTCCACAATCTATGATCTATTGCATCCACTATAAATATAATATTTTAAAAACCGTTTATAAAACTGTTTATGTAGTATTATATGTACTTATATTTAGATTATAAATTTTAGTAATGTAATATATTATAATCAATTGTTTCAACAAAAAAATATGTTAATTCATTTAAATTTAAGATGCTTGATTGTTTATTTGGTAACATAGATTAGATTAGGTAATTCTATTATTAGTTTCCTTTTAAAAAATTGATTTAAACAAATTATGTTAATTCATTTAAATTTAAGATGCTTGATTGTTTATTTGGTAACATAGATTAGATTAGGTAATTCTATTATTAGTTTCCTTTTAAAAAATATTTAAATAAATAAAAATTCAAATACCAACAACCAATCAAATTAAGAGAATTAATTTTAAACTTCACCTATAAGTGACACCTAAGGAAAAATCACTAAAGAGACTTCTCAATTAATATATAGTAGGATTTACAACCATTTAAATCACCAATCATGTTTTAAGTAGTTTTTAAAACTAAAGTAAAAAAAATGGAAAAGTGGTTATAGGAACCCTATTTTCTAAAGCAAAAAAATTATTACTGTAGGATTGTTGTAGAAATATCTTTCCTTTTATATTTTTTTTCATATAATTTCTACAACTACATTAGATACAACTACATCAAAAACATCTACAGACTAAATTCTACAGTAAAATTTTTAAATCTACAGTTCAACCAATCACCCCCTCTATTCTCACTACTCCTTTGTTGTTGAATTTCCCATACTAGCTTTTATTTCTTTAATATATTTCTTCTCCACCTCACTGATTCATTTAAATTTTCAATTAATTACCGATTCAAACACAACAACCAAATGGAGACCACAAGCAACCTTAACCAATAGAATTTTTGGATGGCCCACATGTCTTCATGTCCCTTCCCTCTCTTCTGTGTAGAGCTTCTTTTCCACCCTCCATTGGTGATTTTGGAGCTTAAAAATCAGGTAAATCTTGTCTGCTTTTCATGAAATTTTGTGTGAAATGTCTTTTAAATGTTTGTGTATACCATGGGTAACCAAAAAAAGTAAGAATTGATGAAAATTTGAGAGAGAGAAAACGATTTTAAAAACTGTGTATATGGATTTCAGGTATAGTTTATGTCCGTTTTTGATGAAATTTTTACTGGAAAACTTATAAAGATAAGTGTATATGTCGGCTTGTGTAACAAAAGAAAGATTGAATGAAAATTTTAAGAGATTTAAAAGGATTTTGTAAACTTTGTTTATGGGTTTTAGGGTATATTTTATGTACGTTTTGAGTCCGTTTGATGATTTCTTGGGTGTAATGTCATTAATATGAAGTATATATCATAGGTAATGAAAAATCTGAACAAAAACGGACTAGAAAGTTGATTAATTAGTGTAAGGATAATTTCTGAGTATTACTAAGATACCCAGTTTTACTGAGGAAAAAAAGTATTACTGATACTACTGGTATTATTATGCTTACAAACGTTACTAGTATTACTGGTTTTATTGTGTATTTAGTATTGAAAAAATAGTCTTAGTAAGAGTGTACAGAGTGAAAATTAAATTTAAACTTTTAAATAATGTTAATTGTTGTTATTTTTATTTCAGGAAAATGCAAAATCCGCATTGTACAATCATTTGTTTTGATTATGGAGGATATTATATTAAAGATGGGTCTGAAATGAAATGGATTTCGGGAGATGGTGAAGGGGAAGATGAAATTCACACTATTGTGTTGAAGAAATCAGTGGAGGAGATCACACGCTCTATTTTGGTTGAGCGTATTTGCAAAAAGATAAAGGTAGATGACTATAAGATGGAAGCGAAGATTAGTTACTTTCCGATGGTAATGTATTCAAACAAGCCATCATATATCTGGGAGGATGAAGACGTTTTCGGTTATCTAATGAAAGTAAATCAAGAGAATTGTAGAAGTGTTCTACATGTGGAGTTTTACAAAATGGATGATGACAATGATTTTTATGGTGGTCTATCGGATAGAGAGGCTACTGAAAGAGGGGATACTGAAAGAAGGGCTACTGATAGAGAGGCTACTGATAGAGAGGCTACTGATACAGAAGCTATTGATACAGAGGCTAGTGAGACAGAAGGTGGTGATGAAGATGGTACTGAGAAGGATGCAACTGATAATGAAGGTACTGGTGGTGAGCTCACACATTACGAAGACATTGAGATGCATGAGAATGTCACCGAAAGAAAAGCAGGACCCTCAGTTGAAGTCGCACCACTTGTCTATAAGGAGTGGGATGATGGTATGGATTTGGTTTTAGGTCAAGAATTTAGAACCAAGTAGGAAGCGAAAACTCATATTCAGATTGCTTCACATCTGAAGTGTTTTGAGTATAAGGTAATTCAGTCGGATACTAAGAGATATGTGATAAAATGCCAAGGATCCAAAGAAGGCTGCAAGTGATTTGTGTGTGTTGCAAAGTTAACGAATACAGATCTTTGGTCAGTTAGAAGTTACATCAAGCAGCATAGATGTTCTGTTGTTACCACAAGAACACTGCCTAATAGAAGGAGAGGCACACCACAAATCGTTGCATCTGTTTTGGCCCAAGATTATCCCGGCAGTTTTGACACACCACGTCCCAAAGCTCTGATTCAGTTGGTTCATCGCAAGGTTGCTGTGGATGTATCATACACAACAGCATATAGAGGAAAAAAGACTAGCTGCTAATAAAGTGCACGGAACTCCTTAAGAGAGTTAATTATATTGTTATATGCACATGCTGGAGCAGACGAATCCTGACACAATAACTCGTGTGGTTGTGGATGAGGGCAAAAAATTTAAGTATCTGTTTTGGGCTTTGGGAGCTAGCATAGAAGGATTCCGCGCGACGAGAAAAGTTATAGTTGTGGATGCAACACACCTGAAGACTGTTTATGGTGGAGTGTTGCTTGTTGCGACTGCTCAGGATCCCAATCATCACCACTACCCAATTGCGTTTTGTATGGCATGTGGTGAGAACTATGAGAGTTGGGTAAGGTTTATGGAACAATTGAAATCAGTTATATCCGATGTCCCTGGATTGGTGTTTCTTTCGGACATAAACAAAGGCTTGATCAAGGCAGTACGTGTAGTGTTCCCTCAGGCCGCTCATGGGTATTCTATATGGCATTTGTCTCAAACTGTTAAAGGCTGCGTCCGTAACAACATAGATATCTGTGCATCTAAGTTTATGGACTGCGCACACGCTTATACAAAGGCTGAGTTCTTGGTCCTTTATGACGCTTTTTGCAGGAGGTATCCTAGTGCAGCGGAGTATCTTGACAAAACTTGTGAACAAAAGAAAAGGGCTAGATGTTACTTTGAAGGAGATAGGTACAATGTTGACACCACATATTCAGCAGAATCTTTTAATGGTGTTATTAAGGACGCAAGAAAGTTCACCTTACTTCCAATGTTTTATTTTATCATTGGAAAAATTGCTGAATGGTTTAACAACCACAGGAAGGAGGCAGCTGAAACACCACCCGCAATAAAGCTTGTGCCTATTGTGGAGACGGAAATGTCTAAAAGATGTGTTGATGCAGGGTTTCTTACGGTTAACGAGCTAAACAGCTTCTATCTCGAGTACAGTGTGCATGGTAGTGACGGGAAGCGTTATACCGTGGACATGGCTATGAACACGTGCACATGTGAGCAATTTGAATTTGATAAAGACAAATATCCGTGTGTTCATGCAGTAGCTGCTGCCACATTCATGGCTGATAAAGCGGGAAAGGAACTCCATCTATCTGAGTATTGTTCTAAGTATTATTTGATGGAGCAATGGGTTTTGGCTTATCACAGAACAAAATATCATGTTCCTCATGTCTGATTGGGTTATCCAGAAGAAGTTAGAGCAATGAAAGTACTTCCTCCAGTATTTGAAGTCAAGAAAGGAAAACTGCAACAAGCAAGGTTTCCATCAGCAGGAGAATCTCGTGGAAGATGATAAAGAGGTAGAGGGAGTGGAAGAGGGAGAGGCACATGCACAGGCACAGACACATGCACATACATAGGCACATGCACAGACACAGGTACATGCAGAGGCAGAGGAGGAGGTATGGGAGCGTATTTTGAATGTGGAAGTGGTTCATGTGTTTGATTACTGGAATTACTATGTGTTATTTGGATTACTGGATTACTGGTATTACTATGTGTTATTTGGATTACTGGATTAGTGGTATTACTATGTGTTCTTTGGATTACTGGTATTACTATGTGTTAGTTTGATTACTTGGTTAACTAATATTACTATGTGTTATTTGAACTATATATATTTTATGATTATTATCGATATATTTTATGATTATTATCAGTTCGTAGACTAGTTACTTAATATTAATATTATAGGACTATATTTGATGGTTATTTCAACATTTAAAAAAAAATCTTTTCAGTTTCCCAAAAATTTCTCTTAACTATCATTGTTAGTGTGTGAATGGTTAGGTCATAGTAACGAAAATCTACAAAAATACGTATTTCTAGCCAATACGTAATGAAAATGTATTATCTAATGATAATAATAGTGAAAAAGCATCGATATTACTATAAAAAAGCTCATTTTCTTATGGTTTTACTAGATAAACCTAAAAATTCTCAAAAGATTACTATGTATAAGGTAGTATTACTAAGTCCTTGAAGCTTACCAAGAATTACTAAATGTTATCAAAATAATATCAAATTATATGACGGCTGCACATTTTACATGTGCACTTTTTATCCATGCACGTTTTACATGTGGTTTGCATGTTTATGAGTATTTTCCAAGTTTTTGAATTTTTTTTTCAAAATTTCAGGTATTTTTTCAAGTTTTTGAAGTATTTTTCCAAGTTTGAAGTATTTTGAGCAGAATTTCCCCTCTAATTTCAAATTACCACACCTGTTTTCTAAAAACATACCACAACCATAAACATAACAAATTCAAGAAAAGCATTTTAAGCGGAAACATAACATCCTAACAAGTTCAAGAGAAGCATTTTAGGCACAAACATAACATCCTAACTTGAATAATATAAATACATAACAGAAGCATTTTAGGCTTCTTCTTTGGCACTTTTAGCTCATCAGTCTTTCCCTCAGTAAAAGGAGACTGCACCCACCGTGAAGGTTCACCTTTTCTCTTCTCCGGTAGTGGTGTACATGGCTTCAATGTAGTATCAGTTTTCCTTGGCATGCCTCTCTTCCTCTTCGGCCTAGCGTGTATCACATCCTCTTCCACTGTTTTCTCAGCTTCTTCAACTGTTTTTTCAGGTTCTTCGTAAACAACCATGTATCAGTTTTGTTTTTCTTCCTCAGTGTATTTTTCAGCCTCTTCCTCTTCGGGTTCTTCCACCTTTTCAACCTCTTCCTTTGCAACTTCTTCATCTTTTTTCTCCTCCTCGCTGGAACTTTTCTCTACAACTTCTTCATCAGTTTTCTCAACTTCTTCTTCCACCATTGCTGTCGTTATCCAATTTTTTGGTGGAGTAATCAATTTCGCACTGTTAACCGTTTCTTTGGTGGAGTCTGGGATTGTCTCTTTGCGGCATGTGCCTTAGTCCTACCACGTGGTAGTGTAAGAGTTTTCACTTCTTTCTCAGCTTCTTTCTCAGCCTCTTTCTCAGCTTCTTTCTCAACTTCTTTCTCAGCCTCTTTCTCAGTCTCTTTCTCAGCCTCAATTTCCGCCAATTCTTTTTCTCTTGCTCATCAATACTCCTCCAAAATGTGTCCGCCTGTACTCTCCCTTTCTCACAAATATTGTCTAGCTTTTCCTGCTCGTCCTCTTCGTCACCCTTCTCACTGTCTTACTTTTCCTGCTCGTCCTCTTCGTCACCCTTCTCACTGTCTTGCTCTTCCTGCTCTTCCTCTTCTGCACCCTTCTTCTTGCTCTTCTTGATCTTCCGGCTCTTTCTCTTACTGTTTTCCTCATCTTCCTCAACCTGCTCACTGTTATCATTCCCTTGATCTCTACTATAATCAAAATCATTCCATTGTCTAAACTCCACATCCTCATTTCCCTTGCTTTCAATAGAAGCCAGCCTGTCTTCTATTTTCTTAGCCCTTCTATTCAAAAGACGCTGGTTCTTCTCAAGTTTACCCATCGCCCAGTACATAGTCTCCAGGTTTGTCCCTACTGTTGAGTTAATTCCAGAAAATCCTTCTTCTATGGCTTTCACCATCCTCTCTTCTAGACCTTTCAAGATCGACTCCAAACAAGAATTAGAAGATGAACCTTCTACAATCGTCACTTTTTCTTTGTCTTTCGTCTTTGTAAACTTTCGTGCATCAATATCTGACTCATACAATTCTTTCCACCAAATCTTCTTCTGCTTCACATTTAGCCAGTAGTTCCACCTATCACTTGTGCTGCCCTCCCGGTGATACTCAGGCTCCGGATCAATGATACGAGCCAGAAAAGTTTCCTCATCCACAGTTGGAACCAACACACTGTTAATAGTCTGAAAAAAACATTCAGAAATATCAGTTTAAATTCTCTGCTATTTTCTACTAAATGATATAAAGATATACCCTTGTCTCTCCAAACGCAGCATATATATCTTCCAAAGGATAACCCTTCATGCTACGCTTTGTAAACCGGCTCTTGCACATCCTAGGACAATCTCTACTGGCGCCATGTGAAGAGATTCAGAATTTTTCCCCAACTTAGGAATGCACTCAAAAGCCAATACCTACACAAATAAAGTGTACAGTGTCAGATTTTCGGTTATGAATAATAAAAAAATTCACTAAATTGTAACCTTTTTACCTCTAACGGTATTATGAATCCATTAAATCTGGTTACATAACGCACTTCACCCTTTTGACGCTCCATCACATGCTTAATCTCCTTTATTGCATCTTTAAATGTTAGACGACCCCAAGGAAATTTTCTGCAAACATCCAAATCTTCCACTATCCTTAAGATGAGCGGGTCTAATGGTCCGGAATCCTTCCTTACTCTGATAATCCGACCAAGGAAGAACAAGACAGCCATCTTCAATCTATCAGTACATGGTTGCTCCATAGACAGCAGCTTCTGCTCCACATCTGTTATGGTGATCTTCTTATTACTACCGAAGTAATAATCCACAAACTTAGTACCTCCGGGCTCCAAATGTCTACTCGGATACTCATGGCAGTCCAAGCCAGAGATGAGGGCATGCTCCCTCATAGAATAGCGGATGGGCACACCATTCACCGCAAACCATGCAGCATCTTCTCCTTCAATATTAATGGTGTGCATGAGTAACATCCACATTCCTTGGAGCTTCATGAATTCTTCATCAGGCATGTGGAAGAAATGACGAAACTGTGGATGGCTTGTGAACCAGCTGACCTCCTCCTTTAACCCCTTAATCGCATCGACTGTATCCTTCACCTTGCACTTCGACTGAATCTTGCAAGTCTTCGGGTACTCTGTGCTCTTGAAGTACAATTCAAGAGGTTGTGATGGTTGCCTTTACTGCAATAAAAATATATATGTATTAGTCATTTCTTACTAATAAGAGTAGTAAAATAAATGATTAAAATGAATGCAAAAATTACCTTAGAGGACACAGCAGACATGTCTTCACTTTCAGTATTGAGAGCGAAACTACAGTCTTATCTCTCACTGGGGCACTCTCTTGCTGGACTGCCACTTCTTTGGCCGGCTCATTCCCATATGACACCGCTTTTCTAGCTCTAGTTCTACTGGAGACTCCACCTCCAGTAGATGGACGTCTCCTTTTTTTGGCCATGTGTTCTCTGATACACAACATTGACACTTAATTAACCATAACCAATACACACCAAGCAGTGACAATTTATTACTAAAACAAAAAGAATAATATACCTCAGAGGGGTGTTTAGGCAGATCATCACAAGTGTTCCTGTCAGATAGCTCTTGCACATTCTCTTTAACAACAGGAGCATCATATTTTCGACCTCTTGGAGATCTCTCAGTTTTCTTTTTAGTTTTTCCTCCACCTTTACCTGCCATTACCTCGTTCCTCTGAACATCCAGAAACAACAATACACATTTAGGCACAACCGATAATTATTAATCTCAATTTTTATATATGTTTCTGTTCAAACTTATGCCAAATCTAATATTTCACCATGTTTTCCCAAATTTCAAACCATAATCTTGTTTATTAAAACACTACCTTAATTTCTTATACAACTTACAAGTTATCTCCAAATTTATTTTTCAAATCTATTAAGAAAACAACCTAATAACAACAAAACAAAAGGAAACTAATCACTTACCAGAAGAAATGGAGATGGAGACTCGATTCGGCGGAGAAGGAAGAAGAAACGAAGCGGTTCTCGACTATAGGGTTCGGGTTTAATTCTCAAACAGAGATAAAGAGAGAGTTAAGACACGAGAAATAAGAGGGAGGGATTGATGGATTTTCAATTTGGATGGAAGACGAACGCGGCGACGGAGGCTAGGGTTTCAGAATCGTCAGAAAAGGAGATAAGTGGAGTTCGTCGAAATAGAAATGAGGGAGAGAAAAGGAGTTCGTGAAGAAAGCTTTAACCCAAAACGTAGTGTTTGGTTTAGGAACCGAGTTATGCCCAATTGGATTTGGATGGGTCGGATTTATGTGGTTGGATCATGTAATTATCTGATTTTCTTAGGATTATAGATGTATTGAACATTTTCGTATTTAAAAATAAATATAAAAGAAAATATATTTTCTTGGTGGGAGAATTGAGCATTTTCTATGAGTCAAAGGGGTATTTGGTTAATCTCCTGATTATTCTCTGTGAAGAAAAGGAGAAGACGAAGAAGAAGAGGAGACGACGACAATGACGATGAAAGTGAGCTTGGAAGGGAAGAGAGTTGTGTTGGTTCCGTACATGTCGGAACATGTCCCAAAGTACCACGGTTGGATGCAGGACCCTGCTCTTCTAGAAGCTACTGGATCTGAGCCGTTGAGTCTGGAGAAGGAGTATGAGATGCAAATCTCTTGGACTCAAGATCCCAATAGTATAACCCTTCTTTACATCTCTTACCTATTGCATCTTCTTTTGTCGAAGTTGATCACTGTCCGGTCCGGTGTTAAACTCAATTTTAGGGTTTTAGGTTTTCTTTCAAGAAATCTCAGAGTTGACTTTGTTAAGTGTGTTGACTGTTGTGATGTTATACATTGATTCCATCTCATAATTAACTAACAATGAGTAGAGTAGATCCATGACGTCATGTACATGTAATAAACGTTCCTAGTGCTTATGTTTATTGGTTTGTTACGGTTTGCAGAGCGGACTTTCATTGTGTTGGACAAAGATTTCATAGAGGGAGACTTGGCTCATGGTGAACCGCATGTAGAAGGTTCGTTTCCTGAGTTACTTCATTTTAGGAACTGGTGAATAAATGAGATTCTTTTACCATTCATCAGTTTGGAATCTTCTATGTAGCTAATGTAATCAAGCGGCTTGTTATCATTACTACTGCAACACACTCTCTCTTTAGTTGTTATAGTGGAATTGTTCTTACAATTAAAATTTATATAGGTTCCTGGAAATGAGAACATATCTACAAGTCTGCTCCTTTGTTAGTTGTTTGGCTTGATTGTTTTCACGCTGAGTCATTGTAAATAAGTAACCAAAGCTTCTGTGTGCAGCCATGACGGGTGATGTGAACATTTACATGAACGATGTGGATGATCCTAAGGTTGCAGAGGTGGAAATAATGATAGCTGAGCCCAGAAGGTAAGATTTGTTCTCTTTTCACAAACATTTAACAGGTTTCCTGTGTTGAGATTTGCAATTGACTTGTAGTTAAGCTGATGTTATTTCTGTGCACATGATGAATTTTCTTTTGGGTACAAACCGTTGGTGTAGAGTAGCCGTGGTAAAGGAATAGGAAAGGAATCTGTGTTGATGATGATGGCTTATGCTGTCAACAACTTGGAGATCCACAAGTTTACAGCCAAGATTGGGGACTCAAACACAGCTTCCCTCAGCTTATTCCGAAAACTGGTAACTATAATTACTGACTTTGTTATCTCAAAAATTTATGTATGTATGAGTGTATGAATTTACAACGAAAGAAAGACCAAACACAATTGTTTGTGTTGTAGGGTTTCGAGGACTCTTCTCACAGTGAAATCTTCAAAGAGGTAACTAGTACACTCTCTCCAACAAGGATGTTTTGTTTAAACTGTACTGAGTTTCTCAAGTCTTCCCTACTCGCCAGGTTACACTCGAGTATACGGTGACAAATCTCCGTCGAGCAGAGCTCTTGAAGTTATTAGAGGATGTCATAACGCACACTCTTCCATTGGACAACCCATCAGATTCGCTGCTAACAGGAGAAGCTATTGCCTAGAGCTTCTGTTCAATGCTTATTATTGTTAGAGAGAATGTATGTCATGTACTGCGGGTGAGCCTATTCAAATGATGGTAGCACAATAATACACTCCTTCGTTTTCATAGTTCGATTTCATAACATAAACAATGTTTTAGAACATTTTGGTGTTTATAAGATGTTTTGACATTTCTATGTTAACTTGAACTTTAACGGAAAAAACAGATCTTTACAGTTTTTTTATGATTCGTTGATTTATTTTTAATGTTATATCAATCAGTGAGGTTTTTAATAATTTTCTTAAGATGTGTGTTCTAAGCATTATACTGAATCATAGACTAATATATATATGTTGTTCAAAAAGAAAAAGAAAAAGAGTAATATATATCGACTTTATGGAGCCTCAAAGCTTCTAACAAACCATTGTATAGGACTATGAGGTTGTCATAATCAGCAAGAGAAAACTATTTTAAAAGCCGTTTAACCAAATTGCAAACACCAAATGCCAGAACAAAATTAAATAAATACTTGGAGACAGTTAGGCTGATTGTAACCAATCGAATATCAGACCGAATCACAAATTTGGTTTTCATAAACCGAACCGAAATGAAACATAGAAGTGGACAAAACCAAAAACGTGGTCTTATGTTCTCCTTCACCTACTAAGTACTAACTACCGAAGCCTAAGACCATAATTAAGGTTCTTATTAGAGATGGCAATTAGGCTTTCCCGTCTTGTTCTATCCCGTACCATAGCATCGTCGAGCGGGTCACGGCGGGCCTGTCCCGCACGGACTGCGGTTTTCTGAATGACTACTCAATCCCGTACTGCATAATTTATAAGCCTTCGCGGGCCGTTCCACGGGACATCTCCTTCAGATTCTTTTATGAATGTTAAAGTAGAAGAGTTGTGTAAAGAAGTTGAAGAGCTGAACAACATAGATCGCAACAACATCCAATGTGATCACTCGCTGGTTTATTGGTCTTGAAATAAGTGAGAACCATTTAGACAGTGAAATTTAACTTTTTCAAGAATATTCCTTATTTGATTCTTTTTAAAGCAACGTCTCTTCGTAGCAACAATAACTTAATACTAATGATTTCTTCTTCTCTTTCAACCAAGCTGTTGAACTTAGAGTGTAAAAACAAGATTCTGCAGTAACCCAAACTCTCATTTCGAGTCGTTTAAAGAACAGACAACAGCTCTTCAACAAGCAGTAGCTCTTTAACAACATCATTGTAACAAAATTTAATTCTTTTTTTAAAACACCACTTGACAATACTGAAAACAAAACTCATCAACTTAAATAAGAAAATTCCACATAGTAATAAGGCAATTTATAGTACTGAAAACAAAACCAAACAGAAATGGGAACTTATGGTTGCGGATCTTCAAAATCCCGTGGATTAACCTGTCCCGCATTCGGCCCGTCCCGTTTTGAGCTCGTTCCGCATTCGGCCCACCCCATGAAGGCTCGCGAGGCCCACAATTTTACGGACTTATCAAATGAATGCCTAATCCCACCCCGCAACAAACCTTTACGTGCCAGGCCAGCGGTCCAGGTCTTTAATTGCCATCCCTAGTTCTTATTGTGATGTTCTTAGCGGAAGTTAAGAAACTATTTCTTAACTTTTAACTAAAAAGGTTATCATCTTATTCTTAAAGTCTTTATTTAAAAACATGTTCTTAATTTTTTTAGTTAAGAATTAAGAAATAGTTTCTTAACTTCCGTTAAATCCCGGGTTATTCATCCTCTAAACAACTTCCAAACAGAAACTGCCGATACATATAATCAGCTCTTTTAGTGTTGAGCAGAAATGAGAAATGAAAAATGTGGAGTAACCAAAATAAAATTGAACCGAACAAATCGAAATTGTCGTTTCCAAACCGAACCAAAATGAATTTCACAAATTGTTTCTATTAAACCGAACCGAAATCAAACATAGAAGTAAACAAAACCAAAACGTGGTCTTATGTTCTCCTCACTTCAATCCATTTTATCAGACAAGTTCCCACCACAGACAGTTCCATAATCTCAAAATCCCTGCGAAGCCTCGCGGGCTTCGTTCTAATGGCCTCCTCTCGTTCTCTTCTCCTTTCCTCTTCCTTCCTCTCCAAACCCTCCTCCTTCTCTTCTTCTCTAAGACGCTTCGTTTACCTTCCATCTCCCACCCCCAGATTCTATCCAAAACGTCATGGTTTCTCCACCGTCTTCTCCGTCGCCACCGAACCATCTATCTCCAGCACCGTCCCTAAGAAGACAGAGCCAGCGACCGTTTCACTTCCCAGTAACGACTCATCCGATAAACTGCTCAAAATTCGTCACACGGTACACATTCTTCCCTCTGTTTCTGCTCTGAGATTCTCTGTTTCGATACTAGTGGTATTTTAGGACATTATGTAACATTTTACCCTTTTCACAACTTTTTTGATGTTTGCCAAATTAAGTTTTGCAAAAGTCTGAATTTTGATGCATCAGTTTCGACTTGTTTGTGCATTCTTTAGAGACATGGGCCTCCATGAAAATGCTATAAGCAGTTTAGTTAAGAGTTGAATAAATTTTTTTATAAACAAATTTAGTGACCTTTTTCTATGTATTTTTTGTAAAATAATTTGGTGCTCTATGTCAATGTTTCACTTTTCTATGTTCAGGATTGCCATGTTTAGAGATAATAATATTAACTGATTGAAAGTTAAAAAACTTTTATCCATGTGAATACAGTGTGCACATGTTATGGCCATGGCAGTTCAGAAACTCTTCCCTGATGCTAAAGTGACCATAGGTCCCTGGATTGATAATGGTTTCTACTACGATTTCGACATGGAGCCTCTCACAGACAAAGACCTCAAGAGGATCAAGAAAGAGATGGTCTGTTTAGTTTCTGATGCTCATTAGTATTATTCCTAGACTAGCTCTGATGATTTTAATCTTGTAGGACCGTATCATTAGTCGTAATCTACCGCTTTTAAGAGAAGAAGTATCTAGAGAAGAAGCGCAGAAAAGGATCATGGCGATCAATGAGCCTTACAAGATGGAGATTCTGGAGAGTATTAAGGAAGAGCCCATCACCGTTTATCACATAGGTAACCTTGTAGTTTCCTTCTGTCTTCTTTAATGTCTGTAACTCTTTTGGTAATATAGCTTGTCTCCATCTTATGCCAGTTAAAATGCCTCTCTAGGTAATGAATGGTGGGATCTTTGTGCTGGACCTCACGTCGAGACAACAGGGAAGATTAACAAGAAAGCAGTTGAGTTAGAATCTGTCGCTGGTGCATACTGGAGAGGAGATGAGAAGAGGCAAATGCTTCAGAGGATCTACGGAACCGCTTGGGAGAACGAGGAGCAACTAAAAGCGTATCTCCACTTCAAAGAGGAAGCTAAACGCAGAGATCATAGACGCATTGGCCAAGACCTCGACCTGTTTTCCATCCAGGATGAAGCTGGAGGAGGATTGGTGTTTTGGCATCCCAAAGGTGCCATTGTTAGGAACATAATCGAAGAGTCCTGGAAGAGGATGCATGTGGAACATGGTTATGATTTGATATATACTCCTCATGTTGCTAAAGCTGATTTGTGGAAGATCAGTGGTCACTTGGACTTCTACAGAGAGAATATGTATGATCAGATGGAGATTGAAGACGAGCTTTATCAGCTTCGGCCCATGAATTGTCCGTACCACATCTTGCTTTACCAAAGAAAACGTCAATCGTATCGAGATTTGCCCATAAGAGTTGCAGAGCTTGGTACAGTTTACAGATACGAGTTGTCTGGTAGCTTACACGGTCTCTTCCGTGTCAGAGGGTTCACACAGGTTATTTATTAAAGACATTAATATAGATAATCCTAATCTTGTTTAAGGACTAAGATTAACTTAGTTAGTTTTCTTTGTCAGGACGATGCACATATATTTTGTTTAGAGGATCAGATCAAAGATGAGATCAGAGGTGTGCTAGATCTCACAGAAGAGATATTGTCAAGGTTTGGGTTTGATAAGTATGAGGTTAACTTATCAACTAGACCTGAAAAATCAGTTGGAAGTGATGATATATGGGAAAAGGCAACGTGTGCTCTTAAGGATGCTTTAGATGATAAGGGATGGAGCTATGAGGTTGATGAAGGAGGTGGCGCATTTTATGGACCAAAGATTGACCTTAAGATCGAAGATGCATTGGGAAGAAAATGGCAGTGCTCAACCATACAGGCAAGTAGTAAGCTTCCTTCTACTCTTATGAATCTCAGGATGCTTTCTCTGTTAATTTGTTTCTTGTTGGCACGCAGGTTGACTTTAATCTTCCTCAGAGGTTTGACATTACTTATGTGGACACAAACTCGGATAAGAAACGTCCTATAATGATCCACAGGGCGGTTTTGGGCTCGTTGGAAAGATTTTTTGGAGTTCTCATTGAACACTACGCAGGGGATTTTCCATTGTGGCTCTCTCCTGTTCAAGTTCGTGTTTTGCCCGTCACAGACAATCAGGTTCTGTCTCTTGAGTCTTGATGAAACTTTTGTCTGAAAATTAGGAATCCATGTTCTGACTTAATGAGAGGGTTTGCAGTTGGAGTTCTGCAAGGAAGTGAGCAAGAAGCTGAGAGCTTGTGGAGTGAGGGCTGAGTTGTGCCACGGAGAGAGGTTGCCAAAGCTCATAAGAAACGCAGAGACGCAGAAGATCCCGTTAATGGCGGTTGTGGGCCCAAAGGAAGTCGAGACGGGAACATTGACCGTTAGGTCGAGGTTTGGAGGAGAGCTTGGAACCATTCCTGTTGATGACTTCATCAACAAAATCAACATTGCAGTAGAAACAAGAATTTCTTTGTAACCTTATTGTAAGACTAGGAGCATACCGATCTCTGTAAAGACTTTTGTTCATTTATCCTTGAATGCATTAAAGATTGAAATGGCAGCTAAAAGCTTGGTGACACTGAATGATTTCAATCTTGTATAAGAGATTAGTTACCTGAGGCAGTTACCATTAAGATATCAACTTGATTCAATTTATATTGGAAGGATAAACAACAAACATTGCTATGATAGAAACAATTGTAGGATATGCATTTCAGTTTTAATATTCTACAAACTTAGGGGCATAATTAGTTTAGTTCAAATCAGTTGTGTTAACCTAAGATATAGTAGAACCTCTATAAATTAATAATATTAAGACTTTAAAATTTTATTACTTTATAGAGATATTAGTTTACACACGTTTCTTTATTTAGATTTTTTATTTTATTTTAAGATATATTTATTTTATAAGTAAAATAAATATTTGATTTACTGTATAGATATTATTATTTTCTTTTGAAATTTTATATTTATATTAATTTTATTATATTATTTGGTGTATATAGTAAAATGAGTAGAATTACTAAATCTCATCAAACATATATTAAATTTTAAGAAAATATAAAGATAATTCTACTGTGAATATAAAACAAACAATATAATGATGGGTTCTTATTTATATAAAATATATACATATAAATTATTAATTTATAATTTTAATGGGATTATATATTTACATAGTTTTTTTAAAAAATATTATCTTATTATTTTATTGATTTGTGTCAAATTTTAAACTGGCACAAACTAGAACCAACAAAATTTATTAATTTACAAAGCTTAATTATTTATCGAGTATTAAATATAGAGATTATACTGTATTCCATGTTATTCAGTTATAAATTAAAGCAAATTCTATCATCCTGTGTTTATAGCTATAAGATTACAGTCCAATCTTTTCTTTCGTTAGCTGTGAGGACTGCGGAATTTGTGCCAAATCTTTTTTTTTTCTAATATCGAGACCAGCATTTACTTAAAATTCAGTCCCATTTAGATATTATAAAAATTTAAGTCGGATTTAGTTCAGATTTAGTCGGATTCAGTTTGAATTTAGTTACATATTCAAGATCATGTTGAATCTAAAATAGTTTCGGATACTAATCGTGTTATTGATTCTAAAAATACTAATTTTTACTTGAATAAACTCAATATATTTTCAATCCTTTCAATAAATTTGTGTATTTAGGTTCTTCAAACTATATTATTGTTATTCAAAACAGTTTTGCGAAACTTGTCCATCAACCATACGAGACTTGTTGTTGAATTCTATGTGACAACATTAAATATATCATGATTCATTACAAACCAAAACTTTCTGCCCTCTAACGAACAAGTGGGATGAAGGTAAAATCTATTAAAGCATTGCATGCCACCATTATCATAGTCCAATAGTTCAATTATTTTGCAGTTAATTTGGTAAATGACAAGTGAAATAGATTTTTTCTAAAAACCTGATTGAAAAGTTATTTAAATAATAAATGGAACTTGTAAACAATTATATGAATTTTCGTTTTCCAGCAAAAGAAGAGTTATTCTTAGGTTCACCCCATAGGGTGAACCTCTAGGTTCATCAACCAATAGGATGATGTTATTTCATATTTGATAATTCTTTAAAAGGAAATAAAATTTTGTTAAGTTATATTATGTTTTTAAAATAAAAATACAAAAAAAAATAATAAAATAATATTAAAAAAACTATAAAAAATATATTAAACACTAAACCCTAATCCTAAACCCTAAACCCTAATACTAAACCCTAATCCCTAATCCTAAACCCTAAACCCTAATACTAAACCCTAAACCCTAATCCTAAACCCTAAACTCTTGGGTAAATCATAAACCCTTTGGAAAAATCTTAACCCTTGGGTAAATTAATACTAACTAATTATACTGTTTTTTATTTATTTTTATCTTTTTATTTTAAACAGATGTTTTATTTTAAAGATATATAAAAATATTTTTTTTTTGTTTTAAATTGTTTTTTGCAATTATTACTGTTGTTATTTTATTTTTATCTTTTATTTTAAAGAATAATATAATGTTAAAATATGTTTTTATAGAATTTTTTTTTCGTTTTTTAAATATTATTATTCTTATTTTTTTTTTTCTATTTATATTTTAAAAACATAATATAATTTGACAAGATTTTGTTTTCCTTTTAAAAAGATATCAAATATGAAATAACATCATCATATTGGTCGGTGAACCTCTAGGTTCATCCTAGGGGGTGAACCCAAGAATAAGTCCCAAAAGAATTGACTCCTTGATTGGTAGTTTAACATTAGAGAAACCAATTTTTTAAAAAACTAACTGGTAACCAAACCAATTTTTTTTTAAATGATGGATCAATTCAATATGGTTCAACCAGATTCAACTTTGTTCGATTGAGTGTAATCACAAGATAAAACTAGTACTAAGTCTATATGTTTTATTGTTTATCTTCTATAAATTTTAATGTTAGTTTATTTATTAAAATATTCAATATTAAAAATTATGAAATAAAATTTAAATACAAACCAAATAGAAAGTAACAATAAAAATTTCTTGACTTTAAGGATTTATATTCATGAGTTGAGATTTTTTAAAAAAAAATATATATTTATATATATAATAAAAATGACAATAATAAACGGAACTGGTAAACAATTAACTGCAAAATAATTGAACTATTGGACTATGATAATGGTGGCATGCAATGCTTTAATAAACTACTTTTCAATCTTAATTTCCACTTGTTACATAAGGATTCCAACTAAAACAAGATAATCTATAGAATTTTGTGGAAGTACATACAATTCAAAGAACTAGTGGATCAACAAACTTACACATTCATTGGCTGCTGAACAAAAGGAAACATTTCACTGAGCAAAAGTCTTAACTTGCAAAAGTGTAAACCAATAAACGGATTGGATTCATGACGGTGTGATCTAATAAATCATGATTATGTCCGCCATTATTTACCACCCGAAATGGAAGAGGAGGTTACTTAACTTATTATATAGTCTGGGTATGTCTAATCATAATCTAAATGAATATAAAATGTAAGTAGCAATGGTTTAATTAATCTGTAGTACTTAGCAAGGCAATTCCAGTACAATCTAGATTTAGACTGTTGTATCTCTCCAATCATGGTAAAGGAAAAATTGAGAAAACGTCGATTACAATGATGGGATGATACACAGAGCGAACCGCACTGAGAACATCACCATCCTAATTGTAGACGACGACATAACGTAACAACAATATATTTTGTTTAAAATTAAATTATGCAATGATTTATTATAAAAAGGGTCGGTTCATGCTGTGTCGCACTAAACATGGACATGAGTATTTCCACATCCTGGTACTATCCCGCGTTAGGTAAACCTCATTCTGACCCATTCTCCAAACCATCATGTTACACCAATTTTGTTATCATCTACAGTTTACACGCAAATGACTAGACGACAAACTTTGGTGGATCAGACTATGCCAACTCAATTTTATTTATATCATAATATTAAGCTCTAGTAGTAACCAAGCTACTTTGTAACTGTGACGTTAATAAATCATTTTGCATTGACCTTAACATTACTAAACCTATTTTGTTAAAAGTTTATAATATATATAATACTGTACTGGGATAATGGTTTGAACTAATACCATTGATTTGTCATTACTCGATACTAAAGCCGTATAGGGCATGTTGACCAAAATATTTTAGTAAGCCATAACTAAAAATACATGATTGTATCTGTTTTCTTTATTATATATAATATTTTGTATGATAAATTATCAGGGATCTCGAGGTTCGACCAAGCCGACTTATCCTTTCTATTCATCTCGGTTTCAGAGGGATTTTGTTGTTGTTTGAGTTGTTTGGCAGATTCTATAGTTAGAATTTTAAGAAAGCTGTAGGAGCGGCTGAGATTGCGGTAAGACGGTAACAACCTTTAATCCGTAACTCTCGGCAGCTAAAGAAAAACTCTCTTCGCGGACTCATGTGGGGGTTCATGGCACTATGGCAGTCTGCGTTTTTAAAGATTTGTTTTTTTGTTTCGTACTTATTTGTAGCAAGTTGTTTTAACTTTTCATAGTCATTTGTTGGGTTTTGCATTGTGATGCTTAGATATATTCTTCATTTTCTTTCGTCGACTCTTATATTTTTTGTAAACTAAATTGTAATAAACTTTAACATGTTTACTTCAAAAAGATTATATGACAAATATTCCATTTCTTTGGCAAAATTAATCATCATCATTTTTACCAAAAAAAAAAATTAATCATCATCACTTTGCCGTTGGATGATCTGTGGCCAATACATAATATGTGTACATAATTCATCTAACACATCGATCTGTCACTATTTTAATAAGTTTTTAATCAAGTTTCAAAATTGTCCAAGCTGTATAAACATGAGCGTGGTTGAAATATTTGTGGGTAAAATATTCCTATGAAATCTTATTAACAAACGTCTCATGGACGCAAGAAAAGAAAAAAAGGGTGAAAACCCATTGTATATCTCTCACTAGATTCCCTAAATATTAAACCCATAAATCCATCAACAAAAGAAGAAGCAAACCAAATGGGTATTGAAGATCGATGTATTATACTAGCTGGAGTATAGAGACAAAAGTGGATAATTACATTAAGAGAGCGTATCTCATGCCATCACAGACCATGAGATGGTTAACCTCCGAGACCCTTCCGTAATCTCCCGACACCCACACACCATCTGTCCTGCTACCACGTGGAACTGCAAAGCAAGACATGATCGATAAAGGAAACTTCATCATCACACCGTTACTCTCATTTCCTCTCCCGTCTCTGTTAACGGTTGTGGAAGGCAACACGCTTTCATCAGCAACACGCGGGCTTTTCCGAAGATTTTGGAGGTTTCGCCTTAAGATAGACAACATGTTCAGCATCTCCTGTTTTTTTTTGTTTTCTCTTTGTATCAGGTTTGGTTTTTGGAGAGAGCACTGAGTTTCTTGATGAAGGAGAAGATAGGTTCTTTTAGGGTATTTATTGTGTAAAAAGTGCAAGTGGCCAATTGGGAAAAATTCCTTTTTACTTTTTATTTGTTATCGCCTAGTATCGTAGTGCTTGTGTTTATCATGAATATTATTCCGTTTTCAATTTTCTCAAAAAAGTTAAGGAAAGAAAACAAGATAGTGGAGACAGAAACTTGAGGATTCGCTTTAGAAACTTACCCCATGATTGAGAGAGATTGTGGGGTCTGGTTTACTTGGGTATCTCTTCCGATATTTTAAAGGATAATTGACAAGAAACAAAACTAAACTGAGTGCGGTGTATTTTTAGGTTTTGAAAGGTGACATTAAGTTGACAATAAAATACTAGAATTTCACAAACATGGAAGTAAAGAGTGCTGGTCGTGATGCGACCCAAGCCAAGCTTATAATCATCTAGTCCGGAAAACCCTAAGCTTCTTTATACTTGTTGTTTAAACCGAGTTTGGTCGTATTCAAGTAAAAGAGACTAAACACGTAGGTGGGTTAGTTCGAAGGCTTTAAGTTGATCGGAAAGTGTTTATCGGTTTATTAATAAGGAAATGAACATGGAAACAAACCGGTGCTCGTGGAGTTAGCCGGGAAAAGTACAAATCGGCAAAATATAAGGTAAGCAAAACCTTAATTCTAGTCACCAAATGTGTGTGTTGATTTTTGAATCCTTTTTCTTTTGCTTCTTCCTTTCCTTATATATGCGTTCGTCCCTTCAATGCACTAGGTTGGTCTCTCTTATTGGGCTTTATCCCACCAGGCCGGATGATTGAGCCGATTCTGTTAAGTCACCGAGCTGGATGGTTTTAGTCGCTTCTTGCTGGCCGGCTCAAAGCAGTCTTAAGCCAAGCTGATGTGTTGGCGGTCGACTCGCGAGCAAAGCCGATTCTCCAAGCTTAAATGTGCCAGATTTGCTATCTTATAAGCCTTGTGGGAGAATGTAATCCACCTCCCATCCAGTTCACTTGTGAGCAGCGTAACCAATCTCAGTAAATTTGTGGATTTGGTTCGGAAGATAGATAGTCTGGCGCTAGGTCGATAATGTGTCGCCCCCCCCCCCTTCTTTCTTATGAGTTTTGTCGTCAGGCTTAAAACTACAGTCGCGCTTTTTCTCGTATAGCATTTGGTTAGTTCGTCGGTTTATACTGAGAAATTAAGATAGTTGGTTTCAAACAAAATGATTTCCAGTTCACACCGGTTTGTACCAAGAAGCGGAACCATCGCGAGAGAAGCCGTGGATATTTGGATGGCTTTGAGCTCAATTAGGCCCTTTTAGACCTAATGATGATACACTAGAAAACCCCCTCTCCTCTATATATAGCCGACCCCCTCTCATTATCGCCATTCTTCTCTGCTGCTCCATATATTTTCTCTTTCTTTCTCTCTCTTTCTCTACTTCTCTCTCTAATTTTTTGACCCAACAAGAATTATGCCGCCGAATAAGAAGTTGTCTCAGATGGAGAAAGGGAAGGCGATTGCCGCTGCATCAAGTCCCACTAGGGACGTTACGGTTAACATAAGTCCTCTCGATGAGTTCAGTTTGATTCATCGAGAGGCGTTGATGGACACGGTGAACATGGATATGTCGCAGAGGATGTTGGTCGCCGATGCTGGACAAATGTTTAGTGGTGAGGACGACGGAAACGCGCGCCGCAGTGGATGTCTCAGAGGACTCGGGGATTTGTTGACTCGTCCTGACTTAGTCCCGATCTGATACTACCCGGGTGAAGACCCAATAAGAGGTATATTAAACACATACAACAACTATGCAATAAGAAGATATGATATGGCCTTAGACAGGCTTTTTTGTGAAGAGGGTTGAGATTCTAGGAGTTCTAGGTGGATGGATGGATTGATGAATAGAGGGGATCCAGTGACATCATAATAGTTATGCAATTCGCTTTGATAAGTCAAAATTCAAGAGAATGATTCACACAAAACTCCTAGAATCTGAATACGAGTGGTTAACACAAAATCAATGTTTTCAGTCTCAAGGCGATGTGAAATGCACTATCTTCTCAAGGAGAAACCGAAAGAATTTTCAGTCTCTTCTTTCAACTTGGATTGTTTAAATCGTGGGGTCGCCTAATTTTATCTTGCTCTATTTTGTTTTTCCTTTATTTGTTTTCCTTGGTAGAGTAGCTCTAGATTGCACCTTTTGTAAATCTGAACAGGGAAAATGGCAAAAAGATTCCGTAAACTTTCAAATTTAATCCATGGAAACCATGAATTCATAAACAAACCATTTTATACATTAACTATTGGTCAAACACGAAAAATCACCTATTATCGTTGACGAAGCCATTTTAGACATGTTAAAAATTCAAACCATTAACTCCATTAGTGAATAAGTTAGCGTTGACTTTTGACGTGTCTAAAATGGTTTAGCCAACGAAGTATGCGATTTTATTGGTTCCAGTTTAAAGTTAAAGATTAAAATGGTTTACTAAGTTTAAAAAAATAATTTGTCAAGTACAAATTATTTTTGATTTTGATAATATGCAATATACATTATATATATCAATGATTTTGATAAATAAATTCACTTTTGATTTTATGTAGTAGTCTCATCTTATTTTTTGAATTAATATTTAATGTTAAGTAAATTAAATAAAATGTAATAATATCAATCAAAAATAAATAAGACTATATTTACAAACACCAAATAGTTATCCTAAACATGTGGTCATGCTTGTGTTGTGATTGTTCTTAAGATAATCCTTCTAATTAGTTGATTTTATCGGATTGTGGCAAATTCACTAATTTGGCCTTCTAGCTCTGTGTTCATTCTAAGAAGATCATTATGATTTTTTTAGCGTTGAAATCAAGGTTTACAATGTCACGAGAATCATCTTCTTTCAAGTTTTCAACGTTCTTCACTTTAAGTTTTCTTTTCTTCACTTGTCAGTTGACACACAAGTTTTATTTATTTTGGATTGATCACTTACAATTTTTTAATCAATTATTTAATCTTAAAAAATAATAGAAGAATTTGAGATGAGCCTACTGCATGAAATCGAAAGTGAATTTGTTTAAGATAATCCATCGAACTTTATATTCATTTATTTTGGATTGATCACTTATAACCTTCTATTTAACTTATTTAACCTTAAACATTATAGAAGAATTTAAGATGAAACAGCTACAGAAAATGAAAATATTTATCACATTCATGGATATATATAATATATTGCATATTATCAGAATAAAAAAATAATGTAAAAATTTATAAATTTTCAAACTTTGGTAAGCTATTTTAATCTTTAACTTTTAAATTGAAACCAATAAAATTTTATATTTCCGTTGACCAAGTTATTTTAGACATGTCAAAAGTCAATGTTAACTCTTCACTAACGGAGTTAACGATTTAACTTTCAACATGTCTAAAATGATTTGGTCAATGATAATAGATGATTTTTTTTATGTTTAATCTATAGTTGATATATAAAATGGTTTGTTCGTGAATTCATGGTTTTTATGACTTAAATTTGAAAATTTCAAGGTTTTTTTTTCAATTTTCCCCATTATTTTATGATTAAAATCAATGTTTTATTGATGAAAATGTTAGCTTTACAACGAGGTGGTATAAGTGCTACATGTTTTATTATAAATATAAAAGAAAGAAACTGGTTAAATAAAATATATAACGAGAGAAAAATCAGCTAGACTGAATTATATTTTTTTTGTCACAATTTTTAACTTCAAAGTCTAATAGAAAGCTTTTTTACCTGGTTTTAATGGTTTGCATAATTAATTTAGATGGAAAATGGATATAATGTAATATGGAGCAATTCGAGGCAGTATCTCATGCCTTTGGCCAAGGATATGTTTGATCATGGGCAAACATAATATGTTATTTCTCCTTTGTTCCTTGAATATGTCTGATCCTTTTGTGTTTCCATCCTTCTAATGGACTGAATTCTCTCGACGCGAAATCAAAGTTGGTACGCCAGCACACCATTTAGACATGATTTGCCATAAATAGATAAGGATAAGACCAGTTAAGTGTGTCTTTGGTTATGGTTGATTCAGATTTGGTCCAGGTCGAAACATAGATAGTTTTGGATACTTGGTGGATCAACTATATGGTCCAAGCTGGGTCTGAGCCAAACTCCTCATGGTTGGATTTGTGAGCTTTAATATAGGACCATCAATCAATGTTGCTTAAACTGTCTTGTGTGAACAAACTGTTGGAATAAACCATATAATGACCACATTAATATAACTGGCATGATCGCTCTTCTTCAAGTTACTTTGCTGATTAAGGATAAATTTTGGTCATGTGCTGTACCAGTGAGGCTAACCGGACTGAAGGAAAATTTGTCCAGATAAGTAAAATAAATTTTGGATTTGGTCAGTTTTATCGTTATCTTTGTGTTTTCCTAATTTGATCCCAAATTCTTTGCATAATTCGGATAAAGAGAACAAAAAGAACTGAGAAGTTTGAATTTTAAGACATTTTGGCTTTTAAACTAGCCATCTTTTTTTTCAACAACTAGGAATCTAAGGAGAATTATATTGAATTCTGTATTTGACATGCTTCATGCTTGCATGTTTATTGTCAAGGAAAATCTGTAGTCTGTAGAGGAAGATTAAAATAGAAGATATGGTTGGTCAGTTTTGTCACTCTCTTTGTGTTCCTCGTTTGATCAACATTCTGTTGGAAAGAACTAGAAGTTAGAAGGCTTACGTTTTGGATTTCTTGTGTTATATTAACTAAGGATAATAATATTGATTTGTACTTTGTGTACTTATCATTTAGTATTATTCGTTTTAAAACTTAAAAAATACTTACAAATGCTGGCCATTTATCTTGGTAGTGAACATATGTTTCATCCATTCATGAGGTGAATGCTAACTGCTGTAGCTTCTTGTGAGTCGCTCAACAATTTGAATTTCTCCAGTAAGATGTTGAACAAGTTCTGTAATTGAAAACATGAAAACAAACCAAGATTTAAGACTTGTTCTGTTATAAAAAAACTGAAGTCAAAGCTTGTAATAGTACCATTGGTATAATGTCGGCAATCATGAAAGCCAATTCTAAGATCAGTTTCCCATGAGCTATTAAACTCAATTGCCATTTCCATGGCATTATTCCCTTTGGATAATCCAACCATCCAACATCTTTGTTTAGGAACATTTTTCAATTTTCTTTGCATCACTACACCTACAAACCAAAAGTCTAATGTTCAGAATCTTCACTACATTTGAAAGATTCCTCCCTTTGACCAAACATTTTTCTGAAATGTTGACTACACTTTAAAGATAACATTCGATATGATTGTCTGAGAATCAGAACCTGGAACCGATTTTCTTGAAAAAACTGAGATCGCTGCTTCTATGCTTTCTGGATTAACAGGCTGGAAATCAAACACGAGTACCTGGAAAACCCCCACATAAATGTTCGTTGAGGCATTTATATAAAACACCTTATAGTCAACAAAAGAGAATAATGAATAAAAACCTCTTGACGATTTGGAGAAGATGGTTTAATGAGAACCATGAAATGCTGTAAATTCCTTATATTAAGTGAGTAAGCCATTGACATGATAAGCTGCGGTGGACCAGCCGTTGCTCTGAGCGGCACAGACGCCACATAAACAGCATCTCCGCCGCCACGTGTGGCGTTTGCTGGTGGTTTGAAGAACTGAGACGCCATTTTTCTTCCACTCTGTCTATGCTTAGAGCTCTGAGTGGACCAAATTCAAAGCTAAGTATCAATCCATATAATTAACTTTTTTTCCTTAATTATCAAAATATATGACGTCATAATTTCGTGGTTTTTCTTTGGAAGTTAAATTAATTATCAAAAATAAAATTAATTTTTTTCCATAATTATTACAATAAAGGGACTTTTCATCATTATAGATACAAAAATTGATATGAAAATATGATATAATAATATCTAAATATTTTTTTGCCAACTAATAATATCTAAATATAATTCAGTTATATAGTTCAATTTAAATTCTGAATTTTTTTCCATTTGATAGACCGATTTTATTTTTTCTCTTTTACTTTTGATAATTTCTGTTTTGGAGCAGCGAAAAACTCAATATTGTAATATATCTTAACGAAATGTTCTTCGAGAAAGATGGTATAAACTTTGCTTCCAAATGAAGCAAAATAATCTAAAACAGAAAACAATAGGGAGGCAAAATAACAATTCACATACACATAAATGACAATAACAATAATGGTAAAATGTATAAAATAAAAAATGCGGTTTCAAAATAATCAAAAAAAAAAGACAACATGGAATGATGTAATACAACTCTCTTTCACAATTGTAACTTAGAACATACTCAACCTGCAAAACAAATCCATCCTTATTATTCTCACAAGAACAATGCCACCAAACCGGATACCACCATAGCAATTGGAGCCAAAACCAGCGTCTGTGCGGAGCTCTTGTGCGATGACTTAGGGGAGGAAGCGTTTGCTTCATCAGAATCAGCAGAAGGCGAATCAGAAGGAGAGCTAACTACAGGAGCAGGAGCTGGAGCAGGCATTGGAGGGACATCAGTTCCAAAGATTGCTTCAGGTAAAAGCACCCGGTTCACTTGGTAAACCGCCACAGGATCGGTCGAGAAAACGCTGCTGCTGACTTTGGTCCTGGTCCAGAGCGTATCAATCCGAACCGTACCGGAAACATCAGTGAATTTCAAGGCGTATTGTCCACCAGCGAAGGTGCTAACCGGACCGGACTGGCTCAGGTTCTTGAACTCGGAGAGAGAGTAGTAATGAGGAAGAGCGTGGAAGAGGAGGAGCTGCTTGAGCTGATCCTTTGTGAGGTTTGACAAAGGAGGATTCTTCTGAGCCTTGAAAGCGTCGTCTTTTGGGACAAAGATTGTGACACCTTCCTCAGTGTTGTTGGCTTGGCTTTGGAACGTTTCGATGACTCCTGATGAGAGAAGGTAGTCGAGGAACGTGTGGAAGGGACCAGCTACGCTTAGAAGCTCAGTGAGATTCACGTGGTGTGGAGCAGGTGCTGGAGCTGGTGTCGGTGGCAGCATTGGAGCAGGAGGGCTTGCGGTTTTGGCGTTTGTTGATGCAACCAAAAACGTGACAACGATAAAGATTGAAACCTGCATCTTTGCCATTGCTTCCTCGACCCTCTCTCTCTCTCTCACCTAATGTCACAGCGATTCAAGTTAAACAATGCACAGATCAAATCTTTATCAAGAACCCATGAAAACCCAGCAAGTTATGAAACAGAATCTCAGATCTGGATCTGTTTCAAGAAGAATTGATCTTGGAACTGAGACAGGTAATAGTCAAAGATTGTAACTAACAACTAAAGTAGTGTTAGAGAATCAGATCTTGCAAGTCTTTTTGCACTTCACTAAAAAGTTGAGACAAACCGACACACTAACACACACATACAGAAGCATTAAGTAGCTAAAGTTGACGAGACCCAAGACACAGAATGCAGAAACAATGATAAGCTGAAGAGAAACTAGATCTGGATCAGACAAAACAGAAACTCAACTTAAGACAGAACATTCATATAGTAGTTCAATGGCATTGTGATTTAACTGTTAACCAAAGTGGAAGAGAGAGGAGAGATAGTGGAGAGAGAGGAGCTGACCTTAGCAAATAATTGGTAAAATGAAGTCTTTCTTGGAAGATGGAGAGAGCAGAGGAGGAGGAAGAGGGGTATTTAAAGAAAGTTTTTTAATAGTTTCTATAGAAAAGGAAGGAAAGACAGGCTGTGTACTATTTTTTCCTGTAAACTATGCGGTGTTGTTGTTCTTGTTGCGGCACCGTCTGGTGTACTTGTTGTGTAACCGGTTGGGCCGTTAACCATAATCATGTTTTTGTTCATGATTTTAGTTTAACATTAAGGCATCAAATACACTCATCCTTTTTTACCTAATTTATTAATGGGGTTTTATGTTTCCCTTAATCATTTATTGTTGCTTTATTTAAATTTTTTTTTTATTGTGTGTGGGTGTAAGGGTTTTGATTGGTAAACAAATGAAGTAAAATGAAAAAAAAAACTAAAGCAAATTTTTTTTTTCTTTCTCAGTTGAAAATGTCTCTCTCATAAAATGATGAAAATGTTTACATTGATAATGGTTAGCACAAACAATACTTTTTTTCCTTTCCACGAGTAAACCTTAGAACTTAATGGTTGTAAAATTAAAGAAACAACGAGAATTCGGCCAAAAAAAGCTCCAACTTTACATGAATTGCCAAAACAAACACGAACATATTGGCTGGCCAAAAAAACACTGAACAATATTTGACTTTTAAACTTTAATCAGTAAGTTGTCGCTGACTCGCCAATTAAACACGCCGTTAGTAAATTTGACAGAATGATTGAACACCGTTTGTTAAGATCCGTTAGGTAAAACGACGTCTATTTTTATTATAAAAACATGTCAATTGTGTGAGTCGAACCCACGAACTCTTGGCCAAATTTCGAGGTTTCTTGCCACTGTGCTACTGACACTTTTAATAAAATCATTAACATGTATTGTTTTATTGAGTATCAAAAAATCTCGAAAAATCTAAATCCCTTTTTAAAACTTCCAAAAAAATCTTAAAAATTCAAGAAAATTCTGAAAAGGTAAAATTAAAATTGAAATAGCAAATAATTTTTTTGTTTAAAAAATCAAAACATTAAAAATTTGCAAAAATCTAAAATAATTTAAAGATATGCAACGAATTAGATTTAATGATTAAAAAACTTGAAACCTATTTTTATATCGATTAATGTATGTAAGTTAAAATAAAAAAATGATATTTATCACACTATATATTTTAGTATGAATAATGTATTTAACATAAATAGAAATGATAATTAAGATAAAATAAACAAATGATATTATCACAAAGTGTTTTGCTAAAATATGATATTGAATGAACATACAACAAAAATAAAGATTTCTATACATTACTAGATAATAATTAAATAAAAAAATTGTAGTTTTTGGTGTATGTTCCTTTGTTATCATATCTTAAAAACATTTTTTTTATTTTTTTTAGTAAACAAAAATTTTACTAAAACATATAGTGTGATAAATATCATTTTTGTGTTTTATCTCAAATATATTAATTTATAAAAAAACCAAAAACGTCCAACAAATTAAAAAATACAAAATCTAAAAAATTAAAATTAATGATTAAAATAATTTTCTCTTATGTAAATGAATGCATGCAAGATAATATACAAAATTATATTTATCACACTATATTTTCGTATGATTAATGTATGCAAGATCAAATACACAAATGATCTTAGATACATTAATTTTTATAAAAAATATATTTTTTAAATTATTTTAATCATTAGTTTTTTGTCATTTTTTAATCATTAGTCTTTTCGTATTTTTGGATTTTTTTTATTTTTAGGAATTTTTTAATTAATTTTAGCGAAAAGTAAAAAAAAATTGTTATTTAATTTATTTTAATATTTTTAGAGTTTTTATTGATTTTTTGAATTTTGTTAAATTTTAAGGTTTTTAAAGATTTTTTGGATACTCAATAAAAAGAAATATGTTAGAGATTCATCAGAAGTGTCGTTAGCTCGGTGGCAAAAGACCATGTTGTTTGGCTTTGAGATCTCGAGTTCGAGTCCTGAGATAGACATATTTTTCGTTTATTTTTCGTTTTAAAAACACACAAAACGACGTCGTTTCACTTAACGTCGATTTTTAACGTCAAAATAACGGCGTCTACACTGTTAGATCACGGTGTGTTAAAATGTCAAGTCAATGATAAGTTCTCAAATCTATATTATAATGATTCAGTTTAAAAGCTCCTTAAGATGTCCACATAGGCAAATTGTGGGTCCCACATTTTTATATTAAAATAGATAGTTGTTTTAAAATGGTTACAAACAAAGAATATCAGTTTAGCCAAATGGTCTAAGACCCCATGTTTGGCCTCCAAGGACATGGGTTCAATTCCCACTGCTCTCATGCATAAACCAATTAATGTCATCATCATAAAAATATTTTTAAACACAGATAGTCTTGGTAAGATGTTTACAAACAATGAAATACACTTTAGGCAAGTGGTATAAGGTGTCTAATTAAGTATGCAAGATTGTGGGTTCAAACCACGCAG